GGTACGTCTACTCCCATCCCCATCACACAAGCCCTGACACATTTGCAGAGGCTACATCCAAGCAGCCGCCTACAAAAATCTCGAAGGCGTCGGCGGCATGCGCGGCTGGCGCTGGCTCTTCATCATCAACGGCATAGTCACCCTCCCCGTCGCCGCCATAGGTTTCGCCCTCTTCCCCGGACTCATCAACTCGCCCCGCCGATGGTGGTGCACCGAGGAGGAGTACGAGCTCGCTAGGACGAGGTTGTCAAAGGACCATGGGGCAGACCAGGGAGTTACGTGGCAGACGATCAAGGATGTGTTGCGAAAGCCCATGATCTGGATTTGTGTGCCTTCCTATATGTGAGTTTGCTTTCGGGTAAGAAGAAGACGACGGGGCTGATAGAGAATAGCTTCCTGTGCCAAGCGTCGTACTGGACAGGATACATGACTCTCTGGCTCAAAGCCGACACAAACTACTCTGTCGAACTCATCAACATTCTCCCTACATTCCTGTACCTCATCCAAGCGATCGCCTCTTGGGTCGGCACCACCCTCGCCGGCGCGCTCAACACCAAAGCCTTGTGGGCGTTCCAGGCGTTTGCAATCATCCTGTCTACGACTTTGCTGTGTATCTGGAACATTCCTGATGGACTCAAATTCTTTGCATTCTATTTTGCCGGGCTCCATTATATGGCTTCTCCCATCTTCGTGCGTCACATCCCAACTTCGAAATGACCCAGAACTGATCCTGTCAAAAGTACTCTTGGATAAACGATACCCTCCGCTCCTCCCCCGCAGAGCGCGGCCTCATCATATCAGCCTGCATGACCCTAGGCTACACATTTTACATCTGGGTCCCCCTCTTCACATTCCCCACCACCGAGGCTCCTCAATTCAAGCACGGCTACCCTCCGTCCATCGTCTTTGCTGCGGCGCTATATCTGCTGGTGCTGTTTGGGATGTGGTATATGGAGAGACATCCGGCTGTGCCCGAGGTACGGGAGGGGGATGTGGAGAGGAGGAGCCATGAGAGTGGGAGTGAAGGGGAAGGAGCAAGTGGAAGTGGGAGCGAGTATGAGGATGAGAAGGATGCTTCTGTGGTGGGCGAGAAGGATATTAAGGGGACCAGTGTGGTACTCGGACGGGAAACCGAGGCGCTTACTTCTGTGGGGATACAGACTGCAAAGATAGGGGCATAAATCGGTTGTTTTGATAACAGGGTTATGGATTGTATGGATATTTCTCTGCACATGATTTCTATGATCGAATCTGTAAGGTCCTGCACACATCAGTGTCAACCACTTGAAGCCAAATAGCCCAAGCATACTACACCTCCGAACTTCTTCATCATCACTCAACCCACCTAACACGCGTTACGTAAGCACATCGTCTCCCAAACGCGACGCGTCCGATCCCATCCTGCTGCTGTCATTTAAATCTCCATCTTCAACAGCTCTCTTTGCTACCATCAAACGTACCCCTCTTCTCAAGATGGCGTCGTCATCATCTTCCATTCTACCGCGCCCGCCAACTACGGCCAAGCACACCGATGCTGAAGGCTATGAGATGCCATGGTCCGTCTCCTTCTCTCTTCCTCATAGATTCACGCGGCTGACTTGATACGCGCCCAGGGTCGAGAAGTACCGCCCTGTCCTCCTTCAAGACATTGTCGGCAACAGTGATACCATCGAGAGGCTCAAAGTCATCGCCGAGGACGGCAATGTCCCTCATATCATCATTTCCGGTATGCCGGGTATAGGAAAGACGACGAGTATACATTGTTTGGCACATGCGTTGTTGGGCGATGCGTACAAGGAAGGAGTACTGGAGCTGAATGCTTCTGATGAGCGGTACGTGACTGCGGGAGATGAGAGGAAGGACACTTGCTGATCGATGGGTAGTGGTATCGATGTAGTCCGAAACAAGATCAAGACTTTTGCACAGAGAAAAGTGACACTCCCATCAGGAAGGCACAAGATCATCATTCTTGATGAAGCCGACTCGTGAGGATTGCTTGATTCTCCCGGGGCTGCAAGCTGACACGATCGTTAGCATGACAGCAGGTGCACAACAAGCCCTCCGCCGCACAATGGAGATTTATTCCAACACCACTCGTTTCGCCCTGGCCTGTAACATGTCGAACAAGATCATCGAACCTATTCAAAGCCGATGTGCCATCTTGCGGTACAGTCGTTTGAAGGATGCAGAGGTGTTGAAGAGGCTGAAGGAGATTTGTGAAATGGAAAAGGTACGTCCTTCGTTCTTCAAAAGCCAAGCCTGACGTACGAGATCAGGTCGAGTACAATGATCAAGGTCTCGCAGCCCTCATCTTCACTGCCGAAGGCGACATGCGACAAGCGATCAACAACCTTCAATCTACTTTCTCGGGCTTTGGGTTCGTCAACCAAGACAACGTCTTCAAAATCTGCGATCAGCCCCACCCCATCACTATCCGGCAGATGATCAAGGACTGTCAAGACGGCAAGATCGACGAAGCCCTGGCCAGAGTAAACAATCTGTGGGAGCAAGGGTATTCAGCAGTGGATATTGTTGTTACAATCTTTAGAGTGGTGAAGGGGATGGAGGAGTTGCCAGAGTATCTAAAGCTGGAATTCATCAGGGTGCGCACTCTTGCCAGGGCCTTTGGAAATCTGCTGACGATTCACAGGAAATTGGGTGGACGCACATGCGCATCTTGGAAGGTGTTGGAACACTTGTGCAGCTAGGCGCCATGATTGCTCGACTGTGCAGATTCAGTCTTGCTCCTGGAGCCTTGAAGATATAGTCAAAACTCCATGCAACGCAGGATATCATTACCAGTCATACATCAGGATTCAAATCAGAGTTGAGTCTATACGCTAATACTTTTTACTCTTCGAATTTGCCCAAGGCCTGTCCGACCTTGACCTTTTCTCCGGCTTGTACGCCGAATTTCCAATTCTCGGGCGCCTCAAATACGAGTACCACCGTGCTTCCCAGTCTGAATCCTCCCATCTCCTCTCCCGCCAGAAGCGGCTGCCCTTTGAGAACGGATGCTGAGCTATAGGTCGCTTCGGCGTAGGTCTTGGGCGGGTGCGAAAGGACTCGGGTGTTGGTCCGCAGAGCTTGATCAAAGTTGATCCGGATGGAACCAACGTTGGTGGCACCGACGGGGACCATAGAGTAGAAACCGTGCTTCCATCTGCCTAGCAATGCGACTCGCTCGTTGAGAACGAACAAGTCTTGCATTCTGTTGGCAATGTAGGGTGAGACGGAGAACAGGTCACCAGTGAAGTGTCGGCGACGCTCAACGACCCATGAGGTGGGCGAGTGGAAACGGTGATAGTCGCCTGGGGCAAGGTAGATGACCATGAAGAAGAGTTTGTTGTGCTCTGACAGTCTGGGCAACTGTGTGTGAGAGTCGGTCTTGTTGCCAAGAGCACCCGTACCCAGCTGCGCAGCGACGGAAGCGTCGTGGGCCATTTGCTCGCCTTTGAGGGGATGGCTTGCGTCCTCTACCAGGCCATGCTTCTTTGCTTCAGACTGCTCCTTCACCTGTCCTGCAGACTGTGGCCCAGCCCCCTGGCCCAGCAGAGCAGAAAGGGAGTAAGGAATGTCGTTGATCTTGGCGAAATTCTCGTCTTCGACAACTTGAGGTTGGGAAGCTCGAGGAATGTCGGAAGGTTGACCATAAGCGGGGCTATCAGATCCGAGAAGGGCTCCCAAAGAGTAGGTGATGCCCTTGACTTGCTCGACGCGTTCGCCTACAATCTCGCCAAAGTGGAGGACCTTGCCATCCGCCGGGGATACCTGCAGCACCTAGTTAGCATTGTCACCTGGGAAACAACAAGAGAAGACGCACCATAGGACTCTCAGCTACAGGTCTAGCGCCAACTTTCATCTCTCTATAGAAGAAATCACCCAAACTTTCATACTCTTTTAGATCCTTCGGCACTTCATCGAGATTACACCCAAATATCTTGGCGTAAAGTGTGAACCCGAACGGCCTAAACCATACTGGGAGAACGAGACCATTGAGATAGCCCCAAAGCTGAGAGAGAGAACGAAGAGGGAGGGCACCCATGACTCTAACCTGGTCCATTATTAGCGAAAGACCACACGCGAGACCCATGAAGACGCACTTGCCAGGGACCATCAGCTTTCTGTTTCAACACCGCTCCTCCTTCTCCCTGACTTTCGACCTCTACTTCATTCCTGGCTTGTTTGCGATATTGCACGCCTAAGAGGACGAGGGCACCGAGCGCGATAGGGATAGGATACCATTTGATAGGAGTAGACCAGGCTTGAGCTACTTTTTCTTCATGACGGGTGGAAGATGAGCCGAGGCTCCAAGTCAATGTTTGAGACTTACCATTGTAAGGCTGCTCTTTGGATCCTTCACTTCCAGGCTGTGAAGGCTGTCGAGGGGCGGCTTTAAAGTCTTCGGGCTCGAATTTTGGTGGTCTAGTGCTGTTCCATCGGAGCTGGGGGCTGACTCTGCGCAGAGGGATGGTAGCGTGGCGGCCGGAGGGGGCGAGGGGGCGTGCTAGGGGCACAGCGTGCCGGAGGATCATCATCGCAAATAGTGGCTTGTAAGGAATACAACGGAGACGACGAAAGTCGTCAAAACGAGCTCGGCGCCGTCGTCGGTGGAGCGAGGCGGATAGCGCCGCTCTAGGTATGCTGTAGTTCTTTTCTCATTCTGTCACTACAAATATATTGACTAGGGTGAAGCGCAGCTACACGTATACAGAAAAGAGCTCGAGGGCTGAAAAGTGCATGCGACTTGGTGATATACCGCAAATGCTATGCAAATGCTCACCGGCTCTTGATCTGAGCAGCACACTGACCCTCGTGTCCTTCAACCCTCCTCACAGCGAAGGAATGCAAGTCATTCGTATCACTTACCCTGTACAGCCTGAAGCCCTTCTGATGTGTCAATCCCATACTGCTGTAAAACACGACTCAACAAGCAAACATGACCAACCTCTCTTCCTTGCGTTGATCTTTATGAGCCAACGGCTTCCTGGCCCTTCATCCACGGCCATAGCCTCCCCGAAAACACCCTGTCCCGTCCGATCCAGGCAGTTAACTGGGAGAGCGACCGGTTAGTACCAGGGTGGGGGACCACCTGGGAATCCCGGTTGCCGTGGTTTTGTCATTTCTTTTTGCTCCTTGAAATTCTGTTTGGGGAAGGCATATGCGAGACTCGGTATATATGACCATGTCATTCGTTGGCGGAAGTATCAGAAGACGCATCGCTCAACTTGTGAAGATTGCAGATGTCCAAAATGAGCCAGGTACCACACTATGCATATGCAAACTTCCGCAGACCACCTTAACGCTTGACCCAAGTGTACTAGCAAAAGTTTGGTCAGCACCGCCACAGCAGCAGAAAAGATGACTTACACCCTTCCTAGCCTTGGCCTTACCGGTCTTCTTCCTCTCTACCATTCTCGGATCTCTCATGAGCGCACCATCTGTGGCGCATATGTCAGCACAAGCAAACAACGCGAATGAGATGAAGGTAAACGCACCAGCCCTCAACACGTCAACAGCATCTTCTCTCATCACACTCAAAGCCCTCGCAAGGCCAAGAGCCACAGCTCCCGCTTGTCCGCTTACTCCTCCACCACTGGAGAATGCGAAGACATTGTAAGCGCCCAACAGGCCTGTCAAGCGGAGGGGCCGGAGGACAGCCTCACGGTCGGCAAGACGGGGAAAGTAGGTGTGGAGGGGTTGGTGGTTGATGAGGATCTCAGATTTGGGGAGACTGAGGGCGGGAGTGGAATCAGAAGAGGAGGAGGCGGTAGATTCAAGGATAGGCAAAGCAGCAGAGGAAGGAATTGCCCACACTCTAGCGCTGCTCGTCTTCTTCCTCCCCATACCATACGCCCTTCCAAACTCATCGACAGTCTTCTTCTTTTTGCTCTCCTTCTCCGCCGTCTTCGCTTCGCCCGACAGTCGTTCATATCGGGCGAGCTCCTTGTCGATTTTGCCCGCGAGTTCAGGATAGCCGGAGAGATCAGAGATGTGTCGGAGGTTGTGCAGCTCGGAAAGGAGATCCATGACCTGCCTCAAAGTGCTTGTCTTCAATTTGGTCTGGAAGATGGAGGAAAGTTCTTCCGGGGAGACCCAGGATGCTCTCGGAGACGTGACGGCAGGCAGCCCATCTGGCAGAGGGTAGATGTGCGCTTTGCGGAGGACGGATGTGGTTTGTGCCACGGTGGCGGAAAGGGAAGCGAGGGCTTCGTGGAATTGGGGACGACCAGTGAAGAACTGAGGAGAGTCTGGGCGGGGGTTACGGCGGGGAGGGGCGTAGTCGTGGGAGGGGGGAGAGTAAGGCTGGATGGTAGCGTAAGACCTCGAAGCTGTGGTCGCTACTGACCGCAGAGAGCGGAGGGAAGAGGTGGCAGGGAAGGCCATCGCGTCGGATTTGGGGTGGGTATAGCGTTGAAACGATGCCAAATGAAAGAGGAGAATGGACTTTTCGACATTGGTCGAATGGCGCGCCTAAAACCTTGAAGTGCGACGGGATCAACTGAAGTAGGCGTGCGTGATTTTGTATCTGATAAGAAACAGGGCCAGTGAGTTTTCGACCGTTTGACAACAGAATTCGCTAGCAGCAGCCAACATGGAAGTGGACCAAGCGATTCCCCCAGTGGAGCGGGCCATGGAGCAGAAGCTGAGAGAGAACCTCGAGATACATTACCTCGTACGTCGCCGCCGCCTGGATAGGGAGCTAGCTGATCGAACTTGGGTTTGTAGGAATTCGTGGATACCTCAGGTAACTGTGGCATGTCCTATGCTGTCACTATTGTCTCCCCTGGATTTGCGAAAAAGATCACGCTGCAAAGACATAAACTTGGTAGGTCGGACAAGCCATGTGGGACGCCCAATGCTCATTCATTATGCGTCTTAGTCAACCAAATACTCAAAGATGAAATCGCCCAGCTGCATGCTTTCTCACAGGTAATAACATTCCCAGACTCGCATGCCACTCAGCTGACAAGTAGTGCAGAAAACGCTCACACCAGAGCAATGGGCGAAGGAACAGTCCAAATAAACAGACAGTTAGAAGACCATCGGGCGAACAGTTAGAAGACCATCGGGCGAACAGTTAGAAGACCATCGGGCGAAAGGCCGGCATTTTGTCCAATCATTCAACTATTACCATCGTATAGATCTCCACCACATGTATCACTAGCATCTGATCATGCGATCCTGCATGACGAAAGGCTTGGAGCCAAAATAATGGCACAGCAGATCCTAGTGATGGTGGAGGAACAACGAAGAGATCTGGGTGAATGAGCGGCGGTTAGACAAGGTAGATCTGCATGTTATGCTTCCCCTATCTTGCCAACATTCCGATGGCAGCTCACTTGGCGAGAGGTGGAGCGAGAGCCATGCATGGAATGATTACGAATGTTCGGCAAAGGACGCTGTGCCGCCCCACTTCGCTTCACGACGGACAGACGGAATTATATTTGTGTTGTGAAACCAAGAGTGGATATCTGGAACTCTCTTCTTCATCATCTCCTGCATATCGCACAGTAGAAGAGCGAGCAATGGGCACCAATCCCCCGTCGCTATAACTGCCCGACCAGCACCGAAAGTCACCACGGCTCGCCACTAGCCTCTTTTTGTTTGGCTGCCGACTACAGGCCGACCGACCCCGCCCCCTTTCGGCCGTCCACTCATATCACGCCCATTGGCTTCCTCCGCGACACAATTTTCAATAAGAACGCTCCTTTACCCTCGCCCTTCACGAACGGCGAAGGCTGGATCGAGGATGGTCCTGATCAACGACAAAAAGTATGCCTGCGAACGGTGTATCAAGGGCCACCGGGTATCCTCATGTACCCACACTGATCGCGCTCTGTTCGAGATCAAGAAAAAGGGAAGGCCCGGGACGCAATGCAAGCATTGTAAAGAGAAGAGAAAAAGTGTAGGGAGCAGTGTGCATACGAAGGTGAGTAAGCTTCCTTGGAGAAGAGCAAGTGTCGCATTCTGGAGAAGCGGTGCTAGCATCCGGCAGTGGGCGGCGAAGCGAGGGCAGATCATGGGCATTATGACTATGAGGAGAGCAGATGGACGCTGTTGGGACGTTTTCTGGGCCCTTCGAGCGTCTCTCGAGTCGATGGGTCTTTCAGATCTCTTGATCCTGTATAGATCTCAGGAATACCGAATCAAATGCTAACATTCTTCATACAGTGCAAGTGTGGCTCGTCAAACCCCCTGGCATGCGAAACCCCTTCAGCGGAAGGCTCCACAATCCCCGCCCCCGAGCCCGAGGTCGAGACTCGAAAAGGCCAACCGGGCTCACGGCCTGCTTTCCCGAGAGGGCTGAAGGATGTGCATGAATTGTCAGCCGCGGCGAACGCACTGCAGGGATTGGGAGAAGACGATGCGGTGGTGAGGAGTGCTGAACGGACGGGTGAGTTTCAGACTGCCTAATTGACTGGTCGAACTGACGGGAAACGCAGTGCAAGCATTGCTGAACCCTTGTAAATGCGATCACGGCGGCCCCTGTACATGCTGCGAGCCCAAACGCCGTAGCAAGAAGCATTCACCACCCCCGATTGCTGTCAGCTCGATCAATACCATACTGCCTTCTCGCCCCGACGACGGCTACTCGAGGCTATCTCCTACCTCCTACCTCAACCCGGACAATCCCCAGCGTGCGTTCAACAAGACTCGGCTCTACTCGCCTTATACGACCGACCCAAGAGCACGACGCGACAGCCCGACCAACTCGGTGGGCTCGACATCATCGGCTTCCGGTTGGAACAGCCCGAGGTCGGTGAGGCCCCCGCCAACGAGGGTGAAGCCGTTGACCGATATCAAGAGGTTCTTGACAGCCGCAATGAATGAGGACGGGTCGTTGGCCTCGGAGATCCCGCGGTCGGTCCTGGGGCTGCCGGGCATCCAAATTTTTGATGCTGCTGCGAAGGGCCAGCTCATGATTGAGGGGGGCGAGACGTGCTGTGGAGGCGGTGGGAACGACGCATCGAATGACGCATCGGAAGATACCGATATGGCCCTTGTTTTCCCGACCTCAGAGGATGTTGTCCTCGGTGCTTGCATGTGTGGTGAAGATTGCTCTTGCCCTGGTTGTGCCACACACGATTCCAACAATATCTACAATGGTGGAACGGGTCACGATGGTCCTTGTGGCGAGTCATGTCAGGGCCATCACAACTGCTCTTCATCCATCCCAATACCCTCGGGCGTCCAGTCCATCGCCCAGCTCATCGTTCTCGCCGCCGCCCAGGTGCCCGAACCTCCCTCTCGCCCCGTCGGTTCTTTCATCGATCCGCTTGACACCAGAGTCCTTCCACCTGCGGCGTTCTCTAGCGACGAAGTGGCGAAGAAGCTGGGCTTGGTCCCTCTGAGGCCACTCGAGTGTTGCGGTGGCAAGTGCCAGTGCCCGCCGGGGCAGTGTACTTGTCAGAAACAGTGCTGTGGGTGCTGTGGAGAATGCTCTTGCGACAAGGATGAAGATACGCAGATGAGTGGAGGTCAAGAGGCAGAGCTACAAAGGGAGCAGGGTGCGTGCTGTGGGTCGGGAAAGGGAAAGGAATCACATTCGGCTTCCAAGGATGTGGCAGAGCCGTTGGCGCCTGTTCCGTCTACGAAAGCTGCCATTTCCAACATCACCTATCACCCCACAATGCGGCGAGCTATGATGCAGTCAGCTCAACTGCAAACCTCGTCTCAGGGCCCTCAAGGCTCTCGTCCTTCCAGCCCCGTTACTGCTTCGGTGCCTCGCTCCGCCGAAAGCAGTTGCTGCAGCTCCAAATCTCAATTGCCTAAACGACCCATGCTGCCGAAAAGGGCGTCTGATTCGGGCATTTTGCCGCATTCGTCCATTCAGCGGGCTTCGTCGGGTCTAGGTCGGTCTGGCAGTCTATCATCGGGAAGCAGGAGGGAGATGGGACAGAGGAAGATTGCCCCTTTGCCTGCTGGCCAGGCGGTCGAAGCGCGTTCGACCAAGCAGCGAGCAGTGCAACCAGTCCCGCCCAAGCTTTACGCTGGTACCGTTCCTAATTCGTCAATAGTGGCTGTCCCGACCCTTCCAGCCAACTCTGCGAAAGAGAACCAAGATCTGCTGGAATTCATTGAGAATCAATGGCAATTTGCCTCTGGGGGCG